TCTCTACATAAATTATAATCATGACCATAATTAACATAGTTGTCGTAATATTCTTTATCATCATCAACACTTTCTACTTTTTTTATTAATCACTCTATTAGATTTTTCGGTTTCTGAATATTACGTTTTAAGAATTTTATAAAATATCACGCGGTCTTGGGCGTTATTGTGTTGGCTTTCATAAAAAAGATTCCTGGAATATTCTAACGAGTCTTATCCGGGAATCTAGAGATGGCGTATTATTCAACTAAAAATTATACAATTCAAAACCTTTAAAGAATCCAAGTTCTCTTTCATTAAAATTAGCACAAGTTGATTTAACTTTCGTAAAAATTCTTCTCAGTATTGCATTTTGGGGGTCTGGTTGGTACCACTGGAATTTTCTAAGACTTAAAACTATGCATCCCCTGAATGTCCTTTATAACAGCTTACCGTAAAACTCCACTTCAGAGGGATGTTATGAACCTGGCTGCTAATTTCGCTAACGGCAATTTTACTTCTCGGAATGAGGTCGACCCAATTAAATATCAAAGCAGAGCCATCTCAAGCAAGTTCATGCAACAAACGAAATGTAGAGACGATTCACAGAAAGCTGCTGGAAGCCAAAACAATGTTCATCCTTGAATTTGAAGCGTTTATAGCACGAAGTACGTAAATTTAACTTATTATACGTCCGTTCGCACGTTTATTATCCGAAAACACTACTCACACAGCGCAATAACCCAGAAGACAGAAATCTTTACTACTCAACAAATTTTGTTACAAATTACACAATGTCTACACCCATTTGTATCCGTAGAATTTAATTTTGGCAAATGGAAATACAATAAAAACCTTATTACACATGATGTTCAAATCAAAGTTTTATAACTTCTCAAAAACCGTTTATCGCACACACAAAATTTACATCAATGTAAGACCCACAAATTAGGCGGGAGGACGCGAACTGACTTTATCTGGCTTAGAACAAAATAAAGCGACAGTGTCTTGTGAACACAGTCAGCAACTTTTCTGTTTCATAAACGGCGAGCAACCGGAAGTCGTGTCCCAGTGATTAGCACTCCTACTTTGTATTTGTTAGGTCCCGGTTTCAAATACAGACCCGGAGACCGGGTATCCGACATTTGCTTGTGCATTCAGAACAGTCTGTCCAGACACGAACAGGGTATTCCCCAATATAGCCGACGTCAACCATGTTTTGAGGATATGCAATCAATTTAGTTGGTGGCCAAGGTTACAGTTTTTTGACGTGAATACGTCTTTAAAATCAGACCGACATAAGGGGTACAAGGACGGAAACGGCGATGTAACGTTTGCAGGGTGATCCATTCCGACACTATAACTTCGTGACTAATAACACGATTGAAATAAATGTGGTCTCGTCGATCGGGTATACGACTACGATGCGAGCATGAGCTTGTATTCATTTAATTCCCATATCCCAAAGAAAATATTACTCGCTAACGCAGACGTATTCACGTAAAACCCACGGCCGTGTCCCCGACACAGCCACACCCGGAGTTTTTATCAGCTAAGAGTCTGTAAACGTTTCCAGGGAGATCCTATACCGTGGGTTTAGTTTGTTAGGTGGTACGTTTAACACAATCTGACAGAAATCTGACAGAAGGTTTGCCCTATGTAAAATATGAAAATGTGAGTATTGTAATCTTTATTTTCTATAAAGCTGATTTATTTAAGAAACTGGCTTGAATTTTATTTTCAAACAAATACTATAAGAACCCCTCATTATGTAAATTATTATAAATTCTGTAAAATATTAGTCGTAAAAATGAAGGGACGTTTCCATTTTGAAGATCTAAACGTATGAAATTTCGGGTTCCGTAAAAGCATAGAATTTTTTCATAAGTTTTATGACTATTTGCTTCTCAAGAATGATTCTGCTCTATTTAGTTAGATATGCTACCCCTACTACTATCACTATGTGAGAGACTCCCTTTTAAGATCATATGACGCTTCTGATCTCTGAACAATAAATTATACAGAGACTTTCCTGTCAACGTAACTCGTTTCATTTATTGCACACAAACAATGTTAAGCAGCTATATATTCCAGTGCGTGCATCATTATTAGGCTATAAATATATTATATAAAAATGGTGTTGCTAAAATGTCTAGATGTAGTAACCACAACATATTTCATAGTCACCACAGTGGCAATAACATTAAAATTCTCGTTAACCGCCTCACTGTTAAAATATCACACAATCAATCTCTGACTGGATTAATCTGATAATAATCACATGATTCTACATGACTGATGAATGTTTGGAAATGTGAATTTATAATACTAAATTACTAATGGCACAAAGTGTAGAAACTGCATGGAGCAGATTCATTTTTGAAGAGCTAATAATCGATCAGGCATTGAAGAAATTCCTGTATTTTGTGAAACCCGATGTATTATTGTAACAATATTTAGAAAGTCCGCTTCAGGATCGTTTTCTGAGCCAGATAAATCTAATTTATAACTCAATTTATATTTTTCTATGATACATTTTATTAGTATCCTCCCATCTACGCTTAGGTCTTCCGAATGGTCTGTAACTTTGAGGTACGGAATTTGTTTTAAAGAAGGACCAGAATATCTCATCACCATGCGTTACAGCTGCTGTTTCTGTTCTGTTCTACAAGGCGCAGCTACGAGAGAGAATTAGCCTAATTCCCCTTCATATCCAACATTGTCTTCTCAGAGCATTTAAGTTTCCTTCTAATAGTCGTCCTTTGGATGTTCGTCCTAAACATTTGCGTCGCTTAGTGCTTTCTCGCCCTGCGATAATCTCTCTCCACATGTGAATCGCGCTTTGGAGCAATGCGGAACGGGAACTCCAAGCGTGAAAATATCTCTCAATTAGAAATAAAATGTCTTTGGTCTGGAAAGAAAGCGACTGTTGAAATGAAAACCACATTAAAAATACTAATAATAGTTTATTTCACAGTAGTTATTTTAGAAAGTTTTTAAGTATGTGCAAATAAGGAAACGTTTCCAGCTACTGTTTTGAGATCAGTACCTGCAGAGACAAGAGTCCATGTTCATACCTGAATTTAATATGGTAAGTTAGAATTATTAATTTACATCTAATGCGGGCTAATTTGGTTGCTTAAATTGAGTAAAATGGAAGAAATATTTAAAAAGTAGAATGAAACAAGTGAGTAATATAGGGTATTATATTACGGGATACTCATTGTTTATTGAAGTTGTCTTGCATTCGTGGCCACTGAAATTCAGGAGACTTGAGATAGACTGGGAATAGTTTGCATGCTGGATACCACTTGGAAAACTCAGCTTCGAAGTTCGTGAGGGAAATGAAAGATGTATATGTAACTTGGAAGTGAAGGTGGGAGATAGATGCCACTCAGCGGTGTTAAAACTTCATGTTTTATACCACACTGCCATTGCCACTTAAGATGAGTTATTAGGTTGGTAAATTAAGTGATTATACAGGCGGTGCCCTTATCATAAATTAATAATTTTTTCCCAAGTTTCATACACTGTATTCCTAGATTGAAAACGTACAATGTTCATTCTTCATACTTTTCATATAATATATACTAGCCTTTATCTCATCAGATGTAACCAATTACTTGCAGATTTCTAAAACATTACACTCTATTAACAGCACGTATAAGTAAATGAAACGCAAGATGATAGGCTCCATTGTAATAGGCCTACTATATGTTTTTCTCAGGCAACAGCGCCACGTAAATAGAACATCACGAACATCAGAATATAGCAGCTTTTTGAGATATTGCGCTGTGTAGTCTCGTAGAAGTTAACTGACGTTTGAGAGGTTCTTACTGCCGCCATCATCACAGCGATGATGACAGAGGCTGTAATCACTTCTGAAACGTCGGCAGAATTCTAAGAGGCTACACGGCACAGCATCCCAGATGGTAGTCATCTCCATAATCGCTACCACGAGAATCTTAAATATCACGATCAGATGAACATGAATCTTTCACAAATAATTTCAGAATACGCTATATAAATTTGGTGTGGGTATTAACTGTACAAAAAGTACTTGAAAGACAAAGAATCGGGTGGAGAATGGATATTGACATCGGCGTTACAAAATAAAGTTGTTACAATGAGGAAAGTTTTGAACTAGCTCAGGATAATATTCTGTTTCTGCGACGTTGAATTTTAGGGAATTATAAGTACAAAATTGCTTACTGAGTGGAATTCGTTAATAAATTAATGAACCTATAATTAGTTAAACACATATTCAACACAACTTGTAATTTTTATAGGCAATATGCAAGTCTATCTTAATCGCTTATTGTTTTTTAATATTGAAAGTTATAAGAAATGGAATATATTTGAATGATTTGAGGTTTTCACAGTGGTGAGTCTGAAGATTGCTGTCTTCTGGGTTGTTGTGATGTGTAGTCTGGTAGATGTCCACCGGCGTTTCAGAGGTCATGCTGCCTCCGTCAAGAACCCAGAAGACAGCAATCTTCATATTTGAATAAGTTGACATGTGTTGCGCTTAATGTATTGTCTCTCTCTTTGTAGACCTTAGATACGGGAGGAACGTGTTTTCATTGACAGCAGCGATTGGATCGTGTGGCCGCAGCTCTCAAACAATGGAAGCGAGTAGCAGCGTCTGCCCGCAGACACCGAGAGCAAATGTCTGTCTGATCACGTGTTTTCGAAAGCGTGACCGGGACGTTTATTGAAACTACTTATTTTCTTAAAGGCAAATCAGCGATTGGGGATTGCAGTACAAGTCTAAAACGATGTTATTTACATCACGGTCGATTAGTCAGCTAGGTGTGCCAGGCTGTGAGGATTCAACTGTCTCTTTTATAGGGTTAAAATACCTGGCGAGTATCTCGTACTACGGACAAGTAAGCCGAAAGTTAAGTGACAGTCAGCGTGGGGAAAGGTCTGTGGGAAAGGAAAACTCATGAAACTATTTCCCCATTAATGCAGATAAAACATCAACAGCAGATGCAGCAGCGGAAAAAATGTGTATAAATACAGGTAGCATTTTTCAGTACAGTTAGTTCTATTCTTGCTACGCGGACCTCGACTTCTGCAATAGAGAGTTCTGGGGTTGAACGGAATTAATCTGGCATGGTGTCAACCGCGTCATGGAGACTATGGCGTCTCCACATTTTTCTGGGGACTCTTTGTTTACTCCAGGCCGTCTGTATGGGCCGGGAACTTAGACGCTTTGAACTTCTTCCTGGAGAAACCTTAGAAGACAAAGATCTAGAAGCAGAGGCTTCTGAATTCATAGTAGTCAGAAAGGATGACAGCGATGTTGCGGACTTAGAGACTGCTGCCTCGCACCACGGACACCACCACGAGAAGGGAGGTGGCCACAAGCACCACTCTGATCACCACGCCAGCCATGGCCACAAGGGTGACAAAGGATACAAGAGTCACCATCACCACGAGAAGGGAGACCACGGCAAGCACGGGAAGGAACATCACAGTGGCTTCTACAGTGACCACGGAGGCCACAAGAAGAAACACCACGACGAGGCTGGACACTATGGTGAACACCATAAGGGAGAAAAGGGTCATAAGGGCGCGAAGTACGGAGAGAAAGGTGGCCACAAGAAGGGGCACAAGACCCACGGCTACCACAATAAATTCCATAAAGACGAATATCACAAGGAACACAAGTTTTACGACGACTACCACAAGGGCGGCCATCACGGTAAACACGGAGACTTCCATGCTCACCACGGAAAGAAGGAAGGTGGCCACAAGAAGGGAGGTCATCACAAGTCTGGTTATCATGACGATCATCATGGAAAGAAGGGCCATCACGACAAGGGCCATTACGAGGATGAGCATAAGGGCTTCAAGGGACATCACGGCCACGAGGAACATCACGGACATCACGAAGACTACGGCAAGAAGGGTGGTCACCACGGAGGAAAACACTGGGGCTACAGCAAAGGTCATGGACACTAAGTTATTTAGTTATCACGTGGTAACAATAGCAATATTGCAGATCCTCATTTCTACGCCAGTTTTACATTCTTTGGAACACGTAACGTAGCTAAGACAAAAACCACTCTTAATCTGAGAGGTGGAAATTTCTAGATTATTTTGTGCAATGAACTTATCGCTCTTGACGATTATTTTCGAGTTATTGAATGACAATGGACAGGTAAACTGAGACAAAACTGAATTGAGAGATCGCCAGAATGCTATTACCGCAAATCCGTCAAAATATTTTTACTGGTAAGGGCGCTTTATAGAAAACTGATAATATATGTCATTGACTTATTTTGGAAATATCCGGTCACTCACTTCTCAGAAATGCACACTTCAAAGACCAAGAAACCTCTGATAGGAGGCGGCCAAGACCCACACTGGGTTGTGGAGCCACAGGGAGAAGAAGACAGAATCTTTATTTTATACACTTCGGCGTAGTTTGTAATTCAGTACTTCCGCGTCACATTACTATGTGTTTGTACTTCGCAATCATCATGTTGGCTACAGTACTGAGAAAACAGATTGCGCAAAGCGTAGGGTACTAACTTCCCTATCCCGGTCCGTCTCCTTTAAGACACCAAGATAAATAAAGCGGACAGTACACACCAGACTATCAACGAATACGAATGCATCACGCTATTGAAGACAGACGCATGTTTACCAGACAATTTATCACACGTAAGATATTCATACTAGTATCTTTGCATCATGTATTGGTAGCCAGAAGGTTACAAGAGGTGGTATTAATAGTAACATTTGATTTATTAAAAATGGGTATTCATATTTGTGTATGCTGTTACAGTTTTGTCATTTATATTTTTTGCAAAGTTATTTTGTTACTTTGTTACTTTACACTGGTTGCACTTCACGTGATGGACATAACAAAAGATGTTTTGAAATATTAAATGTCGTTTCTACTCATCATTAAAGGTCTTCTTCTTTACATCACCTCAGCTGTACAGATAAGAATTCAAGATAATTACGCATCACATAGCAAAATGAGCAGAAAAGTGTTGATTGTTCTGAAAGCCCCAGTTAATTTAATATGGATTGAAATGATTTATTATAAAACAGCACGCGTCAATTATCTGTTCCATACTGACCGTCCCATTATCCTTTATTTATTCCATCTAAAAATATTTTATAAGATTAGAGCTTTTAATGCTCCTAATTTTTTAAATTTTGTCCGTCTTCCTGTTACCTTATCCCCTTTAAGAAAATAAATACATACAAATTACAACAAACACCGGCATTTTGACAGATGTATAAATATTATAATTTCTACTACTATCAATGGTGTTTACATTTCCTTTGTCTATACTCGAGTATGAACAAGCAGCACGCATGGAGAGATGAGAAATGCATACAGAGTTTTAGGCGGAAAAACTGAAGAGAAGCCACCGTTTGGAAGACCTAGGCGGAGAGGGGGGATAATACATATAATAGTGGCTGTTATATAAAAGACGTATGAGAGTTATTACAGAACGTTCCTCAGAAAAGGGACCAGTGGCATACTTTTACGAACACGGCAATTACATATTGGGTTTCATAAGATATGAGTAATTCTTTGACTAGCTCAGGTTCATGCTTCATGGTTAGTTAAAGTTGGTCATGATGGAGTCAAGTGGAGCCGACTCTACATTAGATCTAAAACATGTGTATTTTTAAAAACCCAGGGTTTAAAATATCGTGTGGAATTAGGCTCAGGCCTTCTAATAAAGTTAACTTAATGTTCTTCTGTAAATTTAAAGTACGCCTACGTTCAGACAACTGGAATGATTGATATTTAAGCACATTTTAATTAAATATGTTTTTGTGATTTTTCCGATCCACATTTACTACCGAATAACATCATACGAGTCTCAGGTAAAAATAATTGCTCACCCTTGATTTAAAATAGAATTAACAGTTAATACCCTACATGCAGTGCAGTGTATTGGTATTGTCCATTAAAGTGTAAACAGTTTTGTTTATATGCTTTTATATAGAATTAACAAGAAATAGAGAGTATGTATTAAAATCACATGTACACACAAAAATTGTTTCGACGGTATATCACCCTATAAAATTATCATTGTAGATTGGGATTTCTAATCATAAAGGTAACCAGAAGATTAGGCAGAGGTATACAATATTCCCAAATGGCAGATTAAGCATTCTGCTGGTACTAGTTACATCGACGTATTTGTGTTCTGAACGAAGGAATTAGAAATGTTTCGTTTCTTAGCTTTATGAGTCCTGCATTATTATTTGTGCAAACAAGCATATAACTTCAAAACAAAGGGTTAAACAATATTTTTCGTACAGGAAAATTTACTTCTCCTGTGTCCCGAAATTTTGTTACAATTATTAATAGGTACTTCCTTGCCAGGACACGCAGTGGTACACGTTTCAGAAACAGTAGCAAACGATGTTTTTGTGAGAAGTAATGTTTGAGAAAGAACACACTGTACTTATGAATATATGTTAGAACCTGCAGAATCTTTGTGTAACTGGCTTGAGCAAGGACCTAAGAACCAGGGTGACCTTGACCCAGATGTCATAGCAGAAGTTTTGAAGTGTCTATTGCACAGGGGTGACCTAATTCTGATTTTCAGTTGTGTACTGTGTTATGTGATTGATATTGGGTTGCGTTTTAAATGGTATATAACGTACTTTAAAATCCAACAACCAGGCCTGCTGATCGCGTATTACCTTCACAGATCTTTATACGATCCATCTATGTCTACGACATGTTCCATTTAGTTTCATTTTATGAACCACTTTATCAAGGTCCTGATTGAACTTCTGTGTGTACATTCCGAGACATTTTGAGTCTTTTATTAAACTTACATATGACACTTCAGTTACAGTAATATTAGTACGGGTGCATGTAAGTGATTTTAATTTGTTTTAAGGCTCACATAAATAACACAAATTTCCAATTACATTCCAAGGCTCTACAAGCCCATTCGTCTTGTTTCTTTGTTCTTTCACCAAAACGAAAACTTAAACACGCCGACATGTACCAAAGTGTTTTAAGGCGTAAAATATTAATAAATTTAAATAACTTTATTTTTAGATACAACGGTGTGTATACGGAACATTCCATTCTGCAATCGACTTATCTCGAACCCGAAACTTTCACTTATGGTCAGTGAAGGGCTAAATGTACATAAATTATTCAGCCCCTTAGTATTCAAAATGTTTGAAGTTTTCACCTCTCAAACCGATTAACGTTTTCAGCGTTTTCAGATCTTGAACGTGGTATATATCTTTATATATACACTATTTTATCATATCAGAACATATTTGTGTTTGAATCCCGTAGGCGGACACAATACTTTTTAGGAATGGTTTTCTTGTTTATTGAGTTATTTTCAGCTACAAAAATAACCAATGAAATAGACAATACAAGACTGAACAAATTACTTGAATGCGACGATGTCTAGGATGCATGGATCCCTATTTTATCACCCGTCATGGCCTTAAGACGGTTTGCACAGACATAGAAACTACTTCGCCATTTGTTTAGATTTGTTCAAGAAAAATTGCTTCTAAAAATATATATTTTCCATCACTTTATTTGTGGGTACTTTACTGAGCAGATGTACGACGACCAGCTTTTAAAGAATGACTTTTCCATGGTGAGTTGGTTAAAATCGTGCGTGTACATCTGAAACCTATTACGTAGGACACGTGAAAGCGTTTAATTTCCAATAAGTCCCAGAGTACTAATATAATTAGACCTGAATAAAATGTAAAACAGTAAACGTGTTACGTAGGAAGGTAGCGAATCTGGTTACGTGGTTTATGTAAGACCCGTGTAGGAACAAGCGTGTCTGATAGGGAACTGCGTTCCAGTCATTGACACGCAGTCCACCGTAAGATAACAGTTATGCAATTACTCAGAACTCTCAACAGTCAATAAGTAATTAAAAGTTTTTGTCACAAACAGCTAGAAAGTACGAAGTGCAACTAACCAGTGATTTCTATCACACAAGTGTTGTCATTTAGGAGTCTGTAACTTAATTTAAATACTCCTTAATATATAATGCCTAGTGCCATGCAATATTTAACAACTAATTGTGATGTTATTTAACGGCCATACGAAAAGTAAATACTTTGTATAAAGTGCATGAAATTAACGAATAAAGAAGCTGTATTGTCTGTTCGTCCTCAAGCGTAATCTCCTAAACTATTTGACGAATTTAGATGAAGTATATTATTGGAGTCGAAAATAAAAATTGTTTAACTAATTTGATTTTGATATATTTGTAATCGAAATCTTCCTTTTAATTAAGCTATAATCGAATTAGTCTATTTTATGTAAAATAAGACTTGTTCTAAATTAATAGAGTCACCAAATATAATACATAAACTGAAGTTAAAAAAAATCCGTATCCAATACAATATTTTTTGTGTAATTTTATA